TAGTAAATCCTTCTCCAGCTCTGTCAAGTTGGTATATTCTCCGCACTGAATCTTCTGAGCGATGGTCTTCAGGTCTATGGGAGAGTCTATAATGCTATAATACTCTGGGTAGCGACGTTTGGATGGTAGAAACTGGAACGCTGAGTAAAGATGCCGGCCATCACTGTTTGCTGTCATCACCTGGAAAAGGAGGGCACAATTTTAGCACACTTACATAACATAACATAAAATCACGCCTTTAAACCCCGAAGGGGTAGGCAGAAGTGCACATTAGGGAACTTAATACCAATACATACAACTACAATGTAACACCCACTTTTCACTATTTATGTTAGGAGTCCCATGTAATAGGTGGTGAGCCTATTGCCATATACCGGGGACAATTCCAGACTCCGTGCTACTACTAAGATATTTCTAAAACCCAGTAATGCTTTGCCCGACCCGGGAATCGAACCCGAGACCCTTTGCCCGGCAGTCGCACTTGCGACTACTCGGCCAACGAGGCAGTCTTTAGAACACTTGTCAACAATATTTTAATATGTAGTTACTTACACAATTATGATTATAACCAGTTTTCTACTTGTGTTATCAAATCCTTTTTTCGTCTACTATTATATAAATCTGAAGAGTTTGTTTGTTTGTTTGAACGGGCTAATCTGAGGAACTTCTGGTTCAATATGAAAAATTGTTTGGTTTTAGATCTATTTATAGAGAAAGGCAAGAAAGGGATTTATAAAACATCATGCTACAATTTATACACATAAACCTTTATCAGGAAACACAATATCTATTGGTACACCATACAATAATCCACTTAATAATTATTAAGATCATACAGGCGATACATGCAAACGAATGTAAGAGAGGATTCCTTTTTCACTACAAAACAAAGTTACTACCCGCCGTCTGTATTCCTATGTATGCTTAGATCTTAAAAACTACGCAACGGATTTTGATGCGATTTTTTTTAAGATATAGTGTTATCCTTAAGGAAGATTTATATGTATAATACATGAATATTGCATCCGTGCGAAGCTGGGGCGGGTCTCTAGTATAATATGTAAACATAATACAATATCTTCAAACCATATCGATTACTTACAGCATTAAACAGTTCCTCAAAGACATTATCCTCTTCGTTATTGGTAGATGTTTCAGAAAGATCCTCTGCCACATCAGATCTTCGACTGGATGAGCCGTTGCGAGACAGTTTGGGTATCTTGATGTCTTCACCTTGGGGACAAAATAAATACTGTTAAGTAATTACTCAAATATATTATTGAGTCATTCATGAATTAAAATTCTCTGGTGTTGCCATGGGCGTAAGCTAGTATTTAAATATAAATTAATAAATATTGCAATTTCAACTCACCATTCTCTAAAGCCTGTTTAGTCTGCATGTACAGTTTCCAGAGGTCTACCGCATCCCTGTACTCCACTGTGTCAGGCTTGTAGAACGCCTTCGCATTGTTCACCAGCAGTTCAATATCCGCAGACAACTCCTCAATGTCCTCATAAGTATCGGTTTTCAGTTTTTGTTGAACCTAGAAATAAGTTTTGATAATTGATATGTAGAATAAGGTAGACAAGGTCCCATAAGAATAACAAAACAAAAAACATTATGTTGGATTTATGTGTATAAGAACATTTCTTTTATGAGATAAGCCAGTAAACAGGCAGACAGATCACCTAATGGTAAGCAATCGGCGTTGGCCATGGATACCCAAAACACCAGAGGCGTTACAAGTGCGTTACCGGCCTTTTGGGAATTTGGTGTTTGAGGATTGTGGGGGATTCGGAGATTGGGGAGATTGGGGAGACTGGGGAAGGGGGTCCGGTAACCTCACTTTTTTTTCCAACTTTGAGAGGCCTGTTGTTATTTTTATGAGCATACAATAGTAATTCTTTAGAGGTTAGATTCAATTCGTCGTAAATTTTTCTTTCTAAGAATTCTGTAAGACATCGTAAAAATTGGGTTGTTGAGTAAAAATATTATCAAAATTTTTTTTTTTCAAATTAATGTGTAAGTATTATACCTTTTTAAAAAGAGGAATAAACGCGTCAAAATTTGACGTCACTTGCCATACTATTTTGGTACATTTTTTTTACACTACAGTCGGTCAAAGTTGCGAAATTCAATAGTTTTCCATATCACCTTTAGTTAAAATAATATTTTATTTTAAAATGGTACAATAAGTACTTTATTTTTACATTCTATTTAGACACAGCAATACCCTAGATTACAAAACCTCCAAGAAATATCGAAATTATCAGCATTAGCAGTCACAGCATTCAAAAGTATGTCACAGGGTGCTCATTTCCCCTTTTTTTTTGAAATCAGTATAATTCTGTAAGTACATGGGGTGGATTTTTAAAAATATTTTTCTGAGTACTGTTAGAACTTGGGGCATCGTGGGAATCCAGTTGGACGCCGGGTTCTTGGACACCCTGTATGATTATATTATGTTTTTATTGATTTATATTGGTTATTTTGCAAGTAGTTTAATTCTTGGTTTTAGCTTACATTGTTTGTTTTTCTGTTGTTGTTATGCACTGTGTCATATGTTGTATCTATTTCTCTTATTGCAGGGTTGCAGGAAAAAGTCCCTTAAGGGATATGCAATACTTATGTAGCTTTGTTTTGTTACATTTTTTATCCTGCGTATTGTCTGTGTACAGTAGTAAATAAATTAATAAAGTATCCAATGCTTGTTTCCCTCATGTGAAGAGTAAACACAATAATATAATACCTATACACAATTTGATGCTTCACAAAATTTTTGTGCCTAAATAGAAATCAGGAACCTACTATAAGCATGCTTAACAAACACAAATTAACATTTAAATACATAAAACTGTACTCACTCTCAACAAGTCAATAGGTTGGGATACAACTTCATAATACTGCGGCTCCTGACGCCTCTTTGGAGCTCTGATGAACGAGTCACAGAGCAATGTGCCATCTTCTTTTTTGTATGATCGAATTGTGTCATATAATTGCTGGCAGATTTCGCCCTAGAAAAACATTTTATAGGAATGGTAAGAATACAATTACAGTGAAACCTGGTTAAGTGAGACATCAAGGGACCTGCAATGCCGTTTCACTTATAAAGCTATTCCACTTACCCAGTGTCTCTGATATACAGGTATAAATAAATATCTGTCTCATTTACAGAGGGTTCCATTAATAGAGGTGAACTTGGTATTACGTACAGAATTTGTGTGTAGAATAAGAATGTAAGTAGAAAGTAAACAAACAATGTTATCTCAGTTACAGAGGTTTATGCATATAAAATTTACTCGCTGTCTCAGTTATAGAGGTAACTATGATGATAAATCGAAAGAACAAATCCACTAACAGAGGTAATTCAGTGCCAAAGTGTTGGGACCTTCGCATGAGTTCCAGTTATGGAGGTTTCTCACTTATCCAGGTCCCATTTAACCAAGTTTCACTGTATATAGGAATGGTATGATGGTTTGGCCATGTAGAAAATATGGAGGTATGTAATTTCATAGCCTGATGTCCCATTTTTATTACATGTGTGTATTTTTATTACTAGAAGGTTCCTATGTAAAAAAGAAAAAATTTACTTCTTTGTAAATTTCATTTTAATTTTAATTTTAAAATCATAGAAAACTACAAACTACAAAAATTTCTTAGGCGAAACAAAGTTGAAAGTTTAACTAGCATCTAGTTGTTAAATATGTACGAAACATCCCAACCATAGTTTTACAGAATAACTTTAGAGACAGAAGTGTAGAGAGATGCAACACCACTTTTCTCCAGAAAATAACCTTATCTTCATATGCATAAAATAAACATGTATTTGTGAATAGTGATAATAACAAAACTTGAAAGTTTATCAAAATATTAAATATTACAAGTTCATATAAAAATACGCCGGCGGCGGTGCGCTGCTAATTTGCGTCTCCAACAGTTCAATATTAATCCTACTTACGGGGTCCAACTTCTTCCGTTTTCGAGCCGATGGTGGAGGCCCAGGGTTGCTTAACTCAATACCATCGTCACTATCGTCCAAATCAGCTCCACGCGAAGCCCCTGATGATGCACGACGTCTTTTGCTCATTTTCAATAAATGCTTCACTCACAATATACGGCCTAAATTAAATTATAAAACTGAACTGTTGCATTCTTATGGAACTACCTTAGTGATATCAAATTCTAGTCACGATTACATTTAATTATACAATCAAATTGCTTCTCATTTCAAGCAAAGAAAATCAAATCAAATAAGTCGTATCAAACACAAACGCCAAGCGAGCGTAGGTAGCGAGCGATGGCGATGATATTGTTTCAAATAATTAGATTTTTTAACATTATGCCGAGTAAAGAAAGATAGCAAGATTAATAGTTGTACAAGAGTGAAAGAGATGTTTGACTACTTAAGCTATTGTAGACAACAATACGAATGTACACGGAATGCAATAGAAAAGTTCATCGACAGATTGACGCTATTGACAGGTCACAGATAATATATACTTTTTTGTTATTACACTCCTAGTTTATTCAGCCAAGAACGTTGATTTAAACGTCCTTATTTCCAGCATAAAGAATACTTCAATTTGCAGATATCCTCCTGAACTTCTCGTTATACTTTCAAAATATGACTTATTATAGAACCAGAAAACATAATTTAATAGAAAAACCTATTTGAAAATAGGAAATTAAATACAAGCAAAAAAATAAATAAATAAATAAGTACATAATATTATGTATGGTGGCCAGCAGGTTAACCTATCCTTTTCTATTATATTTCTCTATTACATCTTCAACTGAAGAGTATTGACATAAAGTACAAAATCCAATGAATTTCAACAGATTAGAATAGGTTCATCGCATGTACACCTATAAAAATATATTAGAAAAATATTTTGTGAACTACCCACGCAATTATCGTAGAGAAAAAACAATTTTTCAGCCACTACCGTCATTTCCATATTTAACGTTTTAAATGGTATTCATTAAATAATAAGCGACTGCAACGTACGTACGTTATTGAGCATTTTTTTTCTAGATATTTCAAGTATCGAATTCAAAATTAATATTCTAACTATGGATAAAACCGTTATTCCAACGTCCATGGAAAAATTATATAAAAATCTCATATTTTGTGGCGAAATCGATTTTTACTGTATAGGATGTAGAGAATTATTTCATAGCATACCAGAAGTGGAAAAACATATACGCTGGGATCAACACAGAACGTTTTTAAAAAATCAAAGTTATTTATCAAGCTACAAGAAAGATTGCATTCTTAAGGTATGTCTTTGTTTTTCTAGTTATAGGTAATTTATTTTACAATATTTAAACCTATCTGAATAAAAAGTTTGTTTCAGATACATGAACACTTTTATTGCGAAATATGCAACTATATTTTCACTGATAAAAACCATATTATTATACATATCGAAAGTGAAAGCCATATAGCTACAAAAATGAAGAGGAATACTGGGCCCCCGACTGAACCTCCAAAGTTTATAGGAATTTATGATTCTGAATATGTAGTCATAAAGAAAGTCATACTGGATATGCCCCAGTGGAACACCATAACTAACCAGAAGTGCCATTTGTGTGATGAAGAAGTTCCAGATACTTTAATTCGTAAACACATGACATTTGGACGACATATAATCAACTTAATTCAGTCCAAAACCGTATATGAAGAAGAGCGGTACTACCGACTGGTAACTTAAAATGTTATTTACTTCCTAACTAACAAAAATTCAATAAGGGTACAACGTGCAAAGCAAAAAATCAAAGCGACATGCTGTAATTGAGAATAAAAAATACCAAATAAATACAATTATTTGACGACCTAGTGTACTCGTACAGCTCTTACTAGTCTGCTTAGTTGCATTAATGTGGTAGGTTCAAAGAGTAGTAGTATAATAAGTATAGGATTGGGGGTTGTAAACTGTAAGGACGTTAGCAGGTTGCGCACTTTATATTCCACCTACCCTCTCGTGACAAAATTGTTAGAGTCTATCTATATATATAAAAGAAAGTCGTGTTAGTTACACTATTTATAACTATAGAACGGCTAAATCGATTTGGATGAAAATTGGTGGGGAGGTAGCTTAGAACCAGGAGACGGACATAGGGTACTTTTAATCTTTTTTTTTATTTTTTATCGAGTATCACGAACGGGAACGGGAAAAAACAATATTGCGCGTAGGTACGAAGTCGCGGGCAGAAGCTAGTAATACATGAAAGATAAAATTTGTGTATCTCTACTAGTAGGTACAGCTTGGCAAAAAATTTGATAGCTGGAACTAATACCTATCGAATTTGACTGAATCACCCCTCGTGAACTTTCGTGCTTTACTTAGAATCTAAGAGCCCATTTCCAAATTAATTCACTTCCAATGAGTCTAAAAGGCTATAACAAAGCATACAGTTATACAATAGTACACATGCCACAATGGTACATAAGTGGTTACCGTTGCATTAGTAAACAAGAACACCTGCAACTACAGAGGTACCACCAATACTTTGCTAAACGTGCTCCATCGTAGAACGCATCATCACTTACCACTGGGCGAGATAGTGGTCAAACGTCGGCCCATCAAATATATAAAAACTACGGAACCCACACTAGACGAATAGTAGCAACACCAATACCTAAATGGGGCCTACTATATTTTTCTTTCATTCTTTGTCCAGTAGGGAATTAGCTAGTGCCACACCATTGGACGTTCACTATTTGTCAGCTGGTGTGATTGGACAAAACACCTCTCTTTATATATTTACGCCATCTGGTGAGCAAAAAACGTTAACTTCCTTTGGAGACAACGCTGTAATCGCCAAATGGATGGTATTTAAGTACATGATTTAACTACGAGTTTCTCTTGAATTATTTAAATACTAGCAAGGGTTTTACTAAAATCTAAGAGACTAATACATCTTTATGATAAAAATGATTGACGATTTAAAACCAGCATCATTTATTATGGTAGATAATTATTTACCTGCATGTGGCAACATTCGATACGAACGGCCTTTGTTTATATTTTGTAAACAAAAACCAAAAAGCTCATTCGATTTCGAAGACTTCGAGTTCAAAGTCGAACCTCGGTATTTTTTATAGCTCTGATGTTGCCTGTGGACGTACTAAATTAGGTAAGACTTTTGTTAAAAAATATGGAGTGTGTACTTATATAAATAAAAATTCTAAAGTAATAGAGGTTTTGTTTAAGTACAGTCAACAATAAAAATAAACGTTCTTCCGTCCACTGTTACCGTCGCCGGTGGCGTACATTTTTGTTTTGTTGAATTGGTTAACATCATGGTCATTTTGTATGCTTTGCGAACTACTGTCTATTTGCTATAATAACTACTAACTAGGTTTCTGCCTTTATTTATAAAGAAAAAGAATGAAGCAAGCGAATGTTCTATTCGAATAATTATTCTATCTTCAATATCTACATTATTTGATAAGTTAATTGCCACATACAGAATTAATTAGTTTGATAAGTTATTATTTCCCTAATAAACGAGTCCTTACTAAATTTAATTTCAGGTTTGCAGAAATCAGCGTTTCTGCTTCACATGTAAAAAGACTTTCTCAGCTGAAGATTTTGACGATCACTGGAGCACCTGTCAAAACATTGAAGTTCTTGAGATCCAGAGACTGAAGGAAACTAGAACTGCCGCCATGGAGGACATAGCTAAGATGCAGGAAATTCAAAAAAAGCTAATTAGTACTGTGCAAGAGTTCTACTGGGTAGATGAGAAAAACAATATTGCAACATGCAAATACTGTAAGACAGTTGTAAATATACTGTTCAAGCCAATGATAGATCACATGAAAAATAAACATGATAATCATCAATCATCTGACGAATCTTCTTCTGATGAAGAAGTTCAATTTAGTGAAGTTATAGACTTTGGCAAACGAAGAAAAGAATTGGCTGAATTTGGTAGACAACACCATGTCAGACTCAATCACAATGCCAGTAAAGGGTGGTGCTCAGTTTGTGATTGCTACATGTCTGCCCATAAAAGGGTTTTTAAAATTCATATTCGAGGATACATTCATAAGGGTTTCTTAGAAATCCAAGGTTTAACTCCTCCAGTGCATGAACCTGAGCCAAGAGATTTTAAAACAATTTCTGTTTATGACTATAGCTTGGAATATATACCTTCAGAGAAAGCATTTCATATTGATAATAAATATGTTGTGGATGTATTCAGCTTTTTCCTATTGTTTAAAATCGAGGGTAATCCACATGTTAAGAAAACGAAATGTTTTGCATGTAATGAATTAATTGCGCAAGGGCAAGAGCGCAAACATTGTGAGACTGATGAACATAAGGAGAAGTTTCTAGAAGCCAAACTTATAGAACCCGGGAAGAATAAAGATACTCCTAATTTTGGGGAATATATCAGAGAAGTACGAGGTTTCATTTATTTACACTTTTGTTCCTTCAGTTTTAAAGCTTATATTAAACTTCAATACCAAATATTGATGAAATGATTAAAATTGTACAATGTATAATAGGAACATTATTTGTTTCAGATAAAGCCAAACTTGTATCATTGTGGATTATGCAATCGTACTTTTCCGTTCAGAGCATCATTGGAGTTTCACAAGGCATCAAATGGACATCAATCGATAAAGACCAACCGAATTGTAAATCCCGAAGCACCAGCTATAGTATTTAACACAAGACATGATGATGTTTACATAAAACTGTTAACAATTTGTTTGAAGGACCAAGCTAAGTAATATGAAGTACCTTTATACTTCTCCTATTACGTGGGATTAAATTTAAAATAACTGATATCTATTAACCTACCTCATTCTGACATAGGTATTATGTTAAGTATAATTTTTATGTGCTGACTGTACTCGTGTAAAATTAGTTTTGTAAGTTTTTTTTTATTTTATTTAACGGTATGTTTTGTTGTCATCATATCGGTATGTTTGCTTAACCCAACAGCTAAATATTCTAAGACCTAATTAGAATTTACTTAACTTTTCTATGGAAAAGTTAGTCTATATTATATTTGCAAACAATGAGCCTATTTAATGGCTACCTCTTTAAACAAACTCATTATAAAATACGATATTATTATCACATTAACCCTATTCTTGGTAAACAATTTGATACTAACTCATTACTAAAAATAACTATTACTTGAATTGACAAGCAAAATGTCCTGCCAAGATTAGGATAAATGGGTTATCTACTAATTTTTGTTGAGATTATTCTTAAGATGTTTCGATAACTAGTGCCATAATAGGCTACATTCCACTCCTTATTACATGAAAATTATAACTGGTTTATATGATATGTGTCCATCACTTCGGGGTTTACAAGGCCAGGCTACACCTAATCTTAGTACAAATTACTGTCAAAATTATATGAATTGATGTTCTTAGTTAACATTTAGTTTTTTGATTATTGCAGTCTACGAAGAGTTTATTTGGCTTTTTCGTATTGTACATCTTGTATACAGCTTATGGACATTAAGTGTTGGTTTGATAGCGGCACTTGTTAACAAGCTAATCAATTAAATGCCATAAGCTTTAGCTCTCTAAAAAAAGAAAAAAATAGTTTTTTAAGTTTCGACTGCTTCTCATGATTGTTGAGTAAGAAGTATTGGGTTCAATTCCTAGGTTGATCGAAGCAGAGGCTTACCCTTTTGGAGTAAAATGGGTAATGATATTTTTATGTGTACCTAATAGTAATTTTAAAGACTGACAACTTTGAAATGTATTTTATAATATTATTAATCAAAATAATGATGTTTATTTACAAAATTAAGTGAATAAAATGTAATACTTAGGTATTATTATAGAAGGCTGATTTTATAAGGCTGATTTACTTTCTTCTTAAATAATATGTAATTGTATGTGAAACTATGTAACATTACAGTGCTAGATACCAACATATTATATGATAATTTTCTAGTTTTTATATACAATTAGTATATTTTAATAAATAAATCATTTTCATTATTCAGTAACTTCATTTTATTTATAATAAACATCAAACCATTGTGGATAATGTGACAATAACATAATTAAATCATTCCTACATTTTAAACTAGATAAAAACTTAATAGTAGATTCAATAAAACCTTTTTGTATTGACGGAGCTAATTCTTCAATTTTAGTATCTAATAATACTACTATGTGGCTCAAATGAGTAGGATACAATAATGAGAATTGACTAGAGCTACTATTTTTTACATTCTCGACAAATGTTTGGATAAATTGTTGTATTCTGGGATCAAAGTTGGTCATTATAAACAGATAATTAAGTACATTATAACATATTTGAAAACAATTAGCAGAAAAAGATGCTTTATGCAACAAATCTTTTAAATCTGTATTAGAGTTATAAATACTATCAATATATAAGTCTTTGTCATTTAAAACACTATAACTTATTTCCAATAGACATTTTTCAATTCCAATTTTAAACTTTATCGAGATATCTTCAGCTATACTAGGATGTGTACAAACACTATCACTAGCCCACAAGTTTTTTAATATCTGTATATTTTTGTTATCTGTAACATTCCAATGAATAATGTCCTTTAGTAATTCATTACGGTATATTCCATTTTCATTTAAATTTATTAAAGCTTGCACTATTTCAGGATTTAGTTGCGCCTTATGATGATTGCTATTGATATTCATATCTTTTAAATTTCGAACTAAAAATGCATCTAGGTCTCTCTGTGTTGATTCGATGCCAGTCTGACGTGTTGAGTTCTTATTTATTTGTTCATAAAATTCCAATAAAATTGCGGTTAAATCTTCGTTTACTTTTACGTGCTTTTCAGGTTCTACTCTGCACATTTTTCTTATGTTTTCAAGTATAGACTGTCGTAAGTTGTTGCTCGTTTTTGAGTTTTGTTGTGCTTGAGACAAGTTTAGGATTTTTACGAAACTTTTCGAAAGTGCCTTTGCTACATTTCTGTCGAGCGCCGGATTTTCGTAAATGAACCGAGGACATGTTAAGTTATTCGACGTAATTATTTTCTCTATTAATTGATTATTCATTTTTGAAATAACTTTGTCTGGATTTAATGCAAAATAAAATGTAAACACTAAACAACAAGGATTCCCTCCCAGGCAATCTTTTTTTTGACTTTGATTGACAATGACAATTCCAATGTCACCCACCCCACCCATCAACGACATCTGTCACTGTCAAACTCCTTTTGCAATATCAACACTTGCTTGCATTCATGTGAATAAAACGAATAAATTATTATATTGCTCAATACTTTCAATTAATTATATAAAATTTTACAAGTCTATATTTGTAAGAACGTATGTACCTTTACAAAAATTATCCATGTTAACTTATATTAATAATGTAACTGTATACGTTGCCATCTAGTGTTGAGAAGATGAAAGTTCGTCAATACAGACATCTAATTTTCAGTGCTACTATTCGATAGTAGATGGCAGTGGAAGGTCTCTGAATTTAACTTGTCAGCAATGTGTTACTATTAGGCGATAGATGGCAGTAGATCACTTTTGAAGTTAACTTTTTAGCTATAATGTTCTCAAGCAAGTAAATTTTTTCCCCCTAATATTCTAATTTTAGATATATTTAATTTTTGCACTTCTGTCTCTAAAACAAACTATGAATAAAAAACACTTTTAGGACGTTCTGCTCCTCAAATTTTGGTGCTTACTCTTGAAACCAATCTCAATGTCAATGCAATTTCAATCCAATAATATCTCAATAATTATTAAATGTCAAACTTATACAACCCCTAGCATTCAGAGTACGGAATATAAAGCTAAATTCAATACTATTTGTTCATTCAATATCCACGGAATACGGATGCAATGGGCGCTAGTGTTGCAACTCAAGAGTACGAAATTTCACAATGTCAATGTCGATCGATCGGAATTGGATTCAAGAGTAAGCCCACTTGCAATTTAAAAAACATAATAATTTAATCATAATATATTACCACCATGAAACAGCAGAAACTAGATTAGAACAGACATAATTAGAAGAACTATTGACAATTGATAGACGTTTTCAAGTAGTAGGCAGACGTAGTGTAGGACGCCCTCTGGTGGGAGTAGACATCTCACTTGGAAAATTTCTGATAGTGATTAGTTGCGAAGAGGTAAAATTTGAGCGTTCTGGAGTACTAGAACATGTCCAAGATGGACGAGAACAGGCTGATGATAGCGATTCAATTTATGCCTCCCATAGGTACTGTACAAGTTATACATACCTAGATCATTATACCACGTATTACATTAGGACCAGAGCCGTATCTATTAACTCTAATGTAAACTAGGCAAGTTTCTAGGGCGCCAGGTTACTGAGGGGCGCCGTTTAACTGCCAATAGTGGCTGCGGCGCTAAAAGGAATTAGGGGCGCCTTTGAAGTGCATGCTTATGGCGCACTGCGCAGGTTTAATTCATCTCAGATAAGACATCACACTCAGTTCAGTAGATAGTTGAGACACATAGCTAGGTATGTGTGGGAGAGCCATGCTTCGGTATAAATGGGCCGGCTCGACCGGAGTGATACCACGGCTTCACAGAAGACCGACGTGAAACAACGTTGTGTTGTGTTTCGTCGTGTGAGTGAGGTTACCGGAGGCCCAATTACTCCCCCCCCTTTCCCCAATCCCTGAATCCCCAACAATCCTCAAATTCCTAATCCAGAAGGCCGGTAACGCATTTGTAACGCCTCTGGTGTTCTAGGTGTCCATGGGCGACGCCGATTGCTTACCATCAGGTGATACGTCTGGTCGTTTACCGGCTTATCCCATAAAAAAGGTAGGTATGGTATGGTGAGACTTCATGCTCGCACTAGAGGTCTCCAGTAGTTAGGTTAGGTCATATATTATACCTAACTAGATGTAGTTCTATGTAATGACTGTTTATCCGTTATTGGTTAAGTTGTGAGATCTTGACTTTTAAAGTCGTAGTGTCTAAAGGAATTGACGATCAGTTGAATCTAGTTGAGGCTCGGCGCACTAAACTGCCTAGTTAAGAATAGATCACAGATCAGGAAGAACTAGAAGAATACATAAAAAATATTGTGAATTATAAGATACTAGCTTCTGCCCGCGACTTCGTACGCGCAATTTCGTTTTCTCCTGTTCCCGTAGGATTTTCAGGATTTTTTTTAAATTATAATAACCTTCTCCTAGTAATAACAAATATAACAAAAAAAGAATTAGTGAAATCGGTCCAGTTATACGCACGTGATGCCGGGACCAAGGGAAAAAGGGGTTCATTTTTATAGTACCTACCTACCTCTATAGATAGATGTAGATAGACTAGTGAAACAAGTAAAATTTCTGCAAATAGGCTACAAGGCAGCACTTTTACACGTCAATTTTATGAAGCGAACGATGAGGTCTGGTACTGGAGTACCTATTTACCGTATGTAGGTTGATTTATACAATGGCATCATCATAAATATCATTGTTCGTAATTCGATACCTTTTACTGCTCAACATAGTATGTATGGTGCCTATTTTTTTTTTATGGAATAGGAGGTAAACGAGCAGACGGATCGCCTGATGGTAAGCGATCAGCGAATACAATGCCCATGGACACTCGCAACACCAGAGGAGTCACACAGCGTTGCCGGCCTTTTAAAAAGGAGTACCTACGCTCTTTTCTTGAAGGTTTAAGGGTCGTATCGGTTCGGAAATACCGCCAAAATATTTAGGTAGGCCTCCCAAGTGCTTATATCCTCTGATTTATTTTCTGTGATGCGCCGAACTTCAGTGCTTTGATTTTTTCATGGTTGTATCTACTGTAGATCCTGGTGCACACAGGAGTTGCAGCGGTTTACCAAGTTATACCATTAAAAGGAAGCTTCCCTCAAACAACGAACCATTCCAGTTCTGTGAAGTTTTCGTTCACTCGCTGGGTATTATAGTCATCTAATCGTCATTACTCGCGGGACGATCTCCGGCCACCGTAAGCGCGGGTCTGCGGACGGCGAGCATGGGTGGCTCCCCGTCCGACCACAAACAGACCCGAGCATACGGCGCGTCGCGTTCCACGCGCGCCTCAAAGAGCCATCAGACCACCACAGATGGGGCCCAATAGGGCCGATGCCGATTCGGAGTCGCGGAGAACCTAACGGGTAACCGGGGCTACGGCTCGACGTGCAGGAGAAGGAACTGGGTGGTTTTTAGTCAGTAAGAGTCTGACACTCTCTCCCGCCTCACCCAGGCGGGAGCAGTCATTCGATGATTTTCCTTCCTTAAAAAAAATCGTCATTACTATCATAAGACCGGATTAGATATTAAGTTTATGTAACGTAAAACTATTAAATTAATAAGAATACCTGCCTAAATGCAGTTCTTTTTCAGAAAAGTAATCGCCGCTAGTATAACCAAGTCAATTATTCGTGTACATAACGTAACGCTCTCTACATAACGTGAGTCATACAATTTGTATTGGATTTAACATCCATTTTGAAAAACACCGTGAACTCTTAATGTTCGACGAGTGCACTTTGACACGCCTCATACATATAACGCTTTCACATACAAACAACGTTACTTCAGAACATTAAATTATCACGATAAAGCAATAAAATTCGAAGCAGAAACAAAAACAAATTCAGAAAATGCCCCATAATAACACAAGGCTTAATAGGAGAAAGTCATACTCGGGCGTAAATTAAAAAAAAATGAGATCACTCATCAAGATGTATAATAGAAGATTCGGATATCTTAATTAGCATGAATTTACACCGTTATAAAAGCGTGTAAGATGAAAAAAGGTTCATAATAATTCATATCGCCATTTCTTCGGTATATTTTCGAGTCAGTATTTGTGGGGCCCAGTTAATAAATTACGATCGAGACCTCACATAGAGCGGCCTAACTACGTGGGCCACACCGGGCCAGGCTCCGCCCGAGAGT